GACCTTCTGAAGACCCCAGATTTTTACTGGGATCGTGAAAACCTGGAAAGCTTGTATGATAAAACATGTATTTACCTGGATGTTCACAAAAGGACAAGGGTAAACGTTTTACCTATAGTCACAGAAAATACTTTCACATTAAACAGTGTTGATATTAGGAAATAAAATTGGCATTTCAGTATAGTTGAAAGACAATACAAACATGAAGCATGCACACTGCTAAGATTATGTCTTGTCAAAATTTTGTGGAAGGGAGAAAAGGCCTACATGTAGTTGACTACCAAGGGAGAGAACGGCAGGGGTGAGGACCTGTGTGACCACTGTACCTGACCCCTAAGTATTTAAATTGCACTCTGCACTATCTGAGACTGTCTCACTAGTTCAAAAAATTAATGTAAAGTTAGGCCACAGGTAGATTGTTCCCTAAAATGGATTGGAATGAGCAAAGGCACACTTGGAACAGTCTGAGAGTAGTAATGTGTCTTGCCAAGACCAGCCTTGAACCTGCACTTTCTTTATCCATATTAAAACCACACTTCCTAATATATACATTTCATGACATTTGGTAATAATTCTTTGGTTCTGTACAAGGTGATGAATGAGAAATTAAATCATTGCTCTGAGATGGTGGAGTTATTAAGGACACACCTCAGTGAAAAGCATTCCTTCAGACTGGAATGGGGTATTATTGCACTTATAACTGTTGAGGTATGGAGTTCACAATTTTCAGGTCCAGAAAATATCCATACCCCTTCAAAAGAATTCTGAGGGAGTAGGGGGTCTCAACAGCGAAAGTATCAGGTGCAGATCTAGGAGAAGGGAGCAGGGAATGCACCCCCCTCCTTGAGATGATTTTTAAAATTTGTTTACCTCACCAGTCAGTTACACTATTCCTTAGTGGTGCACCCCCTCCTAAGAAAAATCCTGGATCCACCCCTGAGAAAGGAAGCTAAACTGGAAATTCCAGGGGGGGATTGGAGTACAAAATAACCTTCCTGGGTGGAGGTATGGATATTTTCTGCAACCACACAATTGCATATGATACAAAGCTTTGAAAATAATACCTTAATAAAGAGACCTTTTAGAGTGCCATGGAGAGAGCTATGCACCTGAAGTCCTTTGTATGCATTGCAAACCTGTGAAGCTGTGCAAAATTTTTAAAAGACTCATATTGGTTACGCTGTATGTGGGTTGGGTTTGTGATTGGTTCTGTTCCTTGCTCCAAGGCTTTTTCTCCAGGTTCTCCCTAAAAACCTAACACTTAAGTACTACTGCACATTGTAGATAAATTCTAATTTGATCCAGAAACAGTTGATAAAGAGCCATTCCATGGATGCTACTGTTAATTTTCCTTAATTAATTTTTGTTTCTTTATAATTAAATAGTAGCTGGCAGTTGCTCTTAAGCCTTGCTTATGTGCCAATAATAATTATACCATTCCTTGGTATTTGTTTTAAGAGTTGCAACAACTGACTTATGAGCTCAAACCTTCAACAACAGGACAGCTTGCAACTGCCTAACAAAAGCTGATCCTAAACTAGAACAATGTTTTAAATTAACGTTTTATCTGTTGTATCTTGTTCCTTTTGCAGGTTGTGTTTGAAACTCTGTATTTAATAGAGAGGTACTTCCCCTTCAGGTGACCCATGTTTGGTGTATGAGAAAAAAAGAATCATTTGAGAACTTATCAAAAGACATTTAGCGAATCAGTTCCTTACAGAACATGTAGTACATGTATTATGTGTATGGCTTCATCATTGAGCCTACTTACGAGCAGTGTCCTGCAGTTGGCAAACTCAGGGGATGACACTACGA